TTTTCGAGAAAATGTATAATGGCCGTGCGGGGAGTCGATACATTTCTTAATTACACTTAACGTCACAAAATAATTATAGAATCTAACTTTACATTTACTACCATTCTCAAACAAGGGCAGACGAACGAGAAGAACTGGCAATAAACTCGCCGTCACTCCTTATATCGTAATGATTCACATGCATTAAATAAAACTTCGACCAATTACTACCAACTTTGACGATACAGATGGCGCTAGCGTAGCAGTTTTTATTTACGCCAGAAACACCCTCCATATAGATGGAGGGTGTCTCTGACGTCCCCCAGTCTCCCCGTGACCACCACTGCTGCAAAGAATCCGAAACGTCGGGCCGTAGGTATAATATTTAAAAAATAAGTTCAACTAATATATATCGCGTTTTAAATCGTTTAAATGTGTTCTACTCCCGTAAACTTTAGACAATGTTCACATACTAATTACTTTTTAATCTTTAACATAAAAACACGGGATCTGTTGGGTTTTTCAAGAAGTTTTATAAATGAAACACTTTAAAATTCATTCTAAGTATATCTAAAATCTTTAAAAAATAGAAAAAATATATATTCTTATTCATTTTAGAGTTTATCTTTATAATTTTTATATGTTTTCCGCAAATTGTTTTATAAGAGTACTGTAGTTATAAAAGTCTTTCTCGTGAAAATTCCCAATTTTGAAATAAAACGATGAAATGTGTGTAGTCCCCGTATTTCTAGATACTTAATACCAGCAACTTGAGTCGATCATGCCCAGACGAATGTGGTTTCTAGATCGTTAGCAATTCAACGGTCAACTACAGATTTTTCATTCACAACTTTGTATTGACATAAATAAACTTAGTTTGCCCTGTTAAAATTTAAAAGCTAAATAAAAACGGATAATGCAATGGATTTATTTGGGTTAAGTTAACATTTTTTGTAATTTAAGACTAACATATAATTAACACTTAGTGGAAAAGCAATCGATTCGAATTGTACAATCGAAGTACGCTACCTAACTGTTACAAATATGTATTTTGTACATATTATTTAAAAGTGTTGTTCCACAACCATATTAAGTTATCTTAAAAATCTCTACTAATATAAGCTGTTTGATTGTTTGATCTCAGAAACTACTGGTTCGAATTAAAAACATATTTTTGCGTTGGTTAGAGCATTTACCAAGGAATTATATAGGCAATTATCAGACGTGAACAACCAGTGCGAAATGTAGAATGTCTTTGAGAGTTTCCGTTGCTCTGTGGAGATAGTTCAAGATACCCAAAAAATATTAATATTAAAATTAGTTTTCGTTAAATTTTCTAAGAAAATATCCACTACATTATATGTCTATCTTTTGAGAGCTAGCAAGAAAGATATATCGCGCAGGATGACAAGGAGGTTTGCAAAACAAATTTTGATGCCCTAAATAAGTATTCTTTGCGGACAATACCTAATACTTTTAAATAGAACACTTACCGGTTTTAAACGCGATATATATTAGTTAAACTTATCCCCCACGACCACGGCTGCTGCAAAGCATCCGAAAACGTCGGCCCGTAGTTAACATATTTTCAAAGAAGTTTAACTAATAAATATCGCTTTTTAAACCGTTAAAGTGTTTTGAATGTCTACTCTGTAACTACCACAATTACAAACTTCTACTCAATTGACAGTTAAGTTGAGAAGCGAACGCCTTCAATAGAATAATGTCAAGGCCATAGAAATTGAATTTAGCAGACAGTTACTTGACCGCAACCAATGAAGCGTTAGGGAAATTTCGTCCAGTCATGGTGACAAGGTCTAAGTCACAAGTTTAATAAGAAGGCTCTTTTGTTTCCTTATTTAAGGGAAATATCTTCGTTTTCATGGATCTGACGGGTTCGTTGCTACCATTACATAGCAATGTATGGGTATTAGGGGGCCCCCATTTTGTAATCAATTTATAATATTTTTGGAACATGTTGGACTTCGTCTGGAAATCTGGATATTAAATCAAAGTTCACGAACATCGTCCACAGATGCAAGACCTGTCGTGGCGTTTTGGTTTCAGTCTATGGGGAATATCCAAAGCCGAAATAGGTCACGCGCATTTGTACAAACGTTATATGGCATGTATTACACCTTCCATCAAGTGAACCTCAAATTGTCTCTCTCCTCTACTATAAAAAAGGGCTTATTTACCTTACAATGTCAAACACTACGTTAAGCGCCAGAAGTCCTGGGGTTGAACCCCGGGGAAATATTATAAATATGCTGGAAAGGGCACAAACAAAAATAGAAACATTATGTCTGCACCCCATTCATTTTGACTCATTTGAGATATTTATATTTAAATAAAACACTTCAACGGTTTAAAACATATATTAGTTAAACTTATTTGAAAATGTGTACTACTCCGTAAACTATAAACAGTATTTAACGATATTTAATATTATATATATCTATTTATGTGTTGTGTTTAACGGCATATGTATGTTACCAAGATGTCAGTATTATTTATCGAGTTTCAAATAAGACAGACAATTTATTATATATATGAAAACTTGAAAAACAAGACGTTTTAACTACATTTATCGAACATGTGAATGATAGAAAATGGCGCTAAATTTCTATACGTCGATCCTAATTAAATAATTATCAATTAATAATACGGATATTAAACTGTTTAAAAGTGTTTAAAATTCGTGATGCCGTTACCTCTGCACTCATGGTCAGTAATAATATGACTATTAGATAAATACATATTACAATTTAGTGTCATAAGGGAACACTAAAATTATTCATTCTATCGGCTAAACATTTAATATGGCAACATATTTTTTGTAGCCTGTCGTAACAACCGGTAATTTATGAGAAAATGATTAAGGTTGCCTGTACAATAAATTAAAATATAATTTTGATAATACACAGCTTTAATTTGTTGGGATAATAAATAAAGTTATAATTGGGATTAAAATGTATTGTAAGCCGTTTAATTTATGGTTATAAATATCTTTTTAATATACTGAGAAGGTAGCGTGGGTTAATATGTTTTTCACATTAATAAGAGCCTGAAAAATTAAGTTGTATCTATACTAATATATAAAGCTGAAGAATTTTGGTTGTTGGTTTGTTTGTTTGTTTGAACGCGATAATCTCAGGAACTATGGCTTTGAATATAAAGCAACTAAAAGAAGCGAAGAAAACAAGAAAAATATAAAAAAACGGGGAAAATTTTTTCTCTCTGGGTTTCCGATCCGTACGCTGCGAAAACCTAAAAAATATATTTGAAAGAATGATTCCTCCTAAGATAATTAAAAAAATGTCCGCGACACTATATGTATATCTTTTATGATAGCTTGCAAGAATGACGGGGCACGAACGACGGGTCGTGAGCGATGTCGTGGGCACCTTAAATTGATAAAGATGTAAGAATTTCCAAAAACAAATTGCCCAAAACAACTATTCTATGCGGACTAAGTCGCTGGTATGGCTAGTTTTATATATATATATAAACATTAAATCAAACGCATTCAATTTTTATTACTTAATGACATGCATTAAAATTCATTTTAGATTGAATTAAAATAAGAGAGTTTTCATCTAACAAAAAATATACATATTTTTTCTGTATATAAATAACTAGCTGTGCCCGCGACATTGTCTGTGTGGAATAGTTATTTTGGGCTTCAAAATTTATTTTTGCAAAAAGCTTCTTCAGCTTTCTATATAGCAACAGTTACACACGATGTTGTCCGCGTCTCCTCATTCTTGTGAGTTTATTTTAGAAGTTAGGCATACACCGTTGCAGACATATTTTAATGTTTTAATACCATTTTGACATATTTTTCGGTTACTTGCATATATTAAATGTTATATATAATGTGATGAAATGTTGCTTGCGCTCCTATTGATCGCAGCGTTTATAGCCTATCTCGATAATCGGTCCAATCAGTACAAAAAGATTTTTTTCAATTCGAACAAGTAGTTCCTGAGATTTGAGCGTTCAAACAAACAAACTCTTTAGCTTTATAATGTAAGTATAGATTTTATATTTGAATGAAATGCATCGGGCGGCCTTGAAAGGAGCATTTTAGAAAAATGCGATGTCCTCATTCAGAACTTGGGGAAATTTGTTAAATCAGAACACGTCGCTTTTACTAATACAGCTAGATTATACTGTATCGTCGAAGTTTATCTTGCTTCGATAAATTCTTTGAAAAATTCACTTCGTGTTTGAACCGCTCGCGTAACTCTGTTGTCTTTGTTAACACTGTCGGATGTTTTGCATTCGAGTGTTTTAAATGTTGCGATAAGTATCTATACTGTATATATAAGCCATACTTATTGTCACCCACGACTTCGTCCGCGTTGCTTTGTCCCGGCGAGTCGATGTTAAAAGATAGACATATACTGTGTGTTTCGCCTCCCATCAACTGAACCATGATAATTTGATTTTACAGCGCTGCTGCATTTAATTTCTTGCTTTTCCGACAACATAAGAAGAGAAGAAGTGTTATTTTATAATTAAATGACAAGTTTCAATCATAACGACTAAATACTACAAGTGCCTGTAGTTAAATACGGTTGTTAGTAAGTGAAAATAAAAAAAATTGCTAATATTTTTAAATTAAAAAAAATGCTTTTACGACTATATTTTGTATTAAACCATTAAAAATGTTTGATTTAAATGTGTACTTCTCCCGTAAGCAACATACGATGTTTCCTGTATTTAATTTTATTTTTTTATGCGAGACGATACGACATTTGTCGTCAGTTAAAAAAGCACTCTTATCATCAGTATCCATCACCGACGACAAGCATACAAATTCAGGCCTAACTGTTATCAAGTTTATGATACAATTTTAGATCTCACGGCTTTGAATAAACGAGATAAATAAATCAAATGTATTTTTATGAAAAGTATTTATTAGAATGAATACATAAATCTATTTACAAAAATTCAACTTTAACAACGGTACAAACATAACAAAATAGAAAACAAAATCAGATGTTAGCAGCTTCTTAGTGACCTTTCTTGTGTCCCCAGTGCTTGTGGTCCTCGTGGCCTCCTTTCTTGTCGTGGTCATGGTGGTGGTGCCAGTGTTCGTGGTGGCCACCTTCTCCGTGGTGACCCTTGTGGTCGTGATGATGCCCGCCCTTCTCATGGTGTCCCTTCTTACCGTGGTGGTGCTCGTGGTGACCGCCGTGCTTGTGTCCCTTGTGGAAATGACCACCCTTCTTGTAACCGCCTTCGTCGTGATGACCGCCGTAATGCTCATGATGACCCTTTTCTCCGTGATGATGATGGAAGTGCTTGTCCTTCTTGAACTCGTCGTGCTTCTCGACACCGTGGTGTCCCTTTGTGTCGTGACCCTTGTGCCAATGACCGTGCTCATCGTGACCGTGACCGTGTTCCCCCTTCTCACCGTGTCCGTGGTGATGATGGTAGCCTTCGTCATGGTGGTGATGTTTCTTGTGTCCTCCGTGTTCACCGTGGTGGCCTTTGTGACCCTCGTGGTGATGGTGGCCCTTCTTGCCGTGGTAGTCATCGTGATGGCCCTTGTGTCCTTTATGTCCTTTGTCTCCGTGATCATGGTGGTGATGTTCATGGTGTTCATGGCCGCCACCCTTGTCCCAGCCGTGGCCGGAAGCCGCCGCTTCGAGATCGGCAGATCTCTTCTCCCGCATGTCTCTCGCTGAGACAGCGGCCACTAGGGCCACTAACCCGAGAATTACCAAAGCCCTCATTGTTGGAAGTAGCTGTGCTGACTGTACCTTACTCCGAGCACTGAAGATATTTTATACTAATGTTTAAGAAATCAGTTAGTGTCAAGGTCGCAGTGTCGGTGTATTGAACGGAGAGTGATTTCGACTTCCGACATCAATGTTTCGCAAACAGCAGCTAGATCGTTATAATTAGAATTTCTAAAAGTGAATTTATATTTCGTCATTTCTCAAAATGTACAAATATTGACTTAGTACAATGTTTACTGGCTCAGTGGTTAGACCTGAAGATATAAAATTGCGATAGACTGAAATATAGGGTTTGAATCTCGGGTTAACATGATAAATAGTTTTGATGCTGTACTTAAGTCTGATCAAGACATTTGTCCCTTGCTGGGTTCTCTATTCTAGGGAAGTGGAAGGGAGGGGGTGAGCAATGTATGGCTATTGAAAACGGGTCGTGAGTTCAAATCAATTAATAATTTTTATGAAACATGGACAATAGAATTCGTCCGGAAATCTGAATACTAAATTTTGTGAAATTATCCATTCGGGATCCACTCTCCACAGATTAAGTTGTGAAGTTTATTCATGTTTCGTTTTCAGTCTGTGGACTCCCGAATATAAGCTAAAGTAAGTTGGCACCTTGCTGAGAGAGGAAATGGGGAAATGGTGGTAAGGGAGCAGATAATGTGGACCCCATTCTTCTATCGGTTAAAATAATAATGAGAAATGTTATATTCCACAAGTAAAGATGTAAAAAATCCCAGACGCTGCCTTCAAATAAATTTAGTAACCTATATCATTCCCTCGTAAACGCAAAACCCTCAAAAGATAACATACAAATGACCGCGCCGCACTGTTAATACGTCAACTTCCCAAATTTATAGCAAGTATTTTGCGGTCAAAAGTTAATAAACATCCCAAACTTTTGCAAATATCCAATAATTCACAAACATGAAACTTATAAGGCATTATTTGTAAGATAAGCGTTCCGACATGCGCCGGGTGTTCCCGGGAGACGGTTAACTTTATTGAACGTAAAATATACCTACCGACTTTTACAGCAAGTGTTAACGTATCGTTTAAAGTTGGAATTGGAATTTTAAATTCCCCTATTGGCTGAGGACAGACAAGCAATTCATATGAGGTGAAATACTGAAATTTTCAGATCAACAAAGGGCCTGATATAAACTGAGTCAGATCCTATTCTACAACTAGCAGCATACGACATTATTTAATACTGTTAATATGAAGTTATACTGGTAAGATTAAATAATGTTTTTAGTAATAAGTTTTATGTTTATTTTTGGGTGCCTTATAGTAATAGTAATTAAATTTATTCCTCTCCCTATAATTTTTTTTCTCAAATATTCCCATGGGTGGATCCAGGAAATCCATGACCCCCCCCCCCCCGAGCTGGTGCCAGGACTTAGGTGCACCATAATTGAACAAATTGATTTTATTTACAAATAATTATTACAATACGTTTGAGTATGTAATATACATTAAGAAAACAATGTTAACACTACTTGTATCTATTTTTATCAAAATAAAATTAGCTTCTTGAGTTAAACAGGACTATGATATGAATGATCCTAGCTCCAAAACTGCATCGCTCCTTGCTTTAGTCCCACTCCTCCCATTTAAGTAAGATGCGCGGTCGACGAATTTTGAGATTTGGATATTTCGAATTCGTTGGTAGAATATAGTTCACGACTCTACCTATTCAATATCCGTATTTTCAAGCGAACTACAAGTTGTTTCTGAAGATATGAATTCATCACGACCTATTGATTATTAGCAGAGCATTCCTACCATTAGACCAACGAGCCCGACAAGAACAACGACTTTTTCCAGAAAACTTATTCTACTCTAACATTAAAAATCTGAAGAAGTTGTTTGTTAGAACGTGCTAATGTCACGAACTACTAGTTCGATTATTTTTGTGTTGGTTAGAGCATTTACAGCTATAGGCTATAAAAATCGAACTGTAACTAATAAGAGTGAAGAAAGAGTGGGAAATGTGGAAAAAACGGGGACGATTATACACTGCAAAAAATTGACAGTATATGTATATTTTTTAATATTAACTTGCAAAAACTACGGGACGCGACCGATACAGTGGATAACAGCTTAAATCTATAAAGATAAAGAGGTTTCAAAATTAAAATTTTGTTGCCCAAAATAACTACTGTACCCAGACGAATGCTGACACAGCTAGTAGTATAGAATCAACAAAGGCGTTGGGTTGAATTGTGATCACGTAAAAAACTAATTAAATAAAGCCCACCAATATCAGAATGTGTTAATTTAGGTGGTTAGTTAGTTCGGTCGAATGTGCTGGAAGTTGGGCAGACCAATTAGCTGATGAGTGCTTGTGGAATGAATATAAATAGGCAAGAGCCTCGGGCTACAGCCATCTGCTACAATGAGATAGTTATAGGGTTAAGTAATTAGGAATAGGGAGCTTATTTTGTTAGGAATTTGTTTCGGTTATGTGTGATGCTTTTATTAATTGATTTATTAGACAACCAGAATTGTGGAATTGGAAGTGCGGAGTGGGTTTATAGCTTTCTATTTAATAATCTCTTTTCACTTAGTAGTATGCTATGCTATACATATAGTGTTTCGCGTAAACTATATTAAGTATAGAGTTTATATAAACTCTAAAGTATTATGAATTCTTCGCGCAATCGACGAGTTAACATCTGATGATGCCGTCCGCTCGTGATGGCGAAACGTCGAGAACCTCTTCTCGCTCACGTCGCGCGTAAAACAATGATATAGTAGGTATATCATGGCATCAACAATGGCCGTGAAAGCCTTTTAAATTTATTAAGATTAATTAAATATGTATATTTTCTATTTCTCTTTCTTTATTAAATCCACTCAGAGTTTTATTAATTTATTACTATATAATCTTTTAACATTTGTTTACTTTTTAACATTTATTTACTTGATTTTAAATATACAGTGGACCATCTAAGTACCATGTTAAACTTACTTTTTGTCAAATTATGTATGTTAGGTTAAGTATGTTTTGTAGTCTCTTGATATTATCTTTATTTAAGGGACACTTGGCCGCGAATCATTTTGTAGGTACGTTGAACTTTCCAACCGAAGATTACCGGAGTTTGGAACTAGATGACATCACTTCCAGGCGTCGAAGACGTAGCGTTGTAGCCGGTATCAATATACCAGTAATCGCCAAAACTTTAAAAGTTAGAGTCAAATATAAATAATCAGTTATTTAAAAAAAATGAGCCAAAATTGCTTTAAACAGTTTCTTTATTTACATCGATTACATTGATGCATAATTTTGTGTCAAAAGTGAAACATTTCATCTTTTAAAACTGATCGTAAAAGTCAGGAACTCTTTTTAATGAAAAGCAGATGTAAGGTCCATTCTATTTAGTTTAAAAAAACCAAACTTAAAGAGTTAAATAGCCACATCTAGGGATCTGGAGCCACACTTTGCCACTGCCACTTTTCTTCGAAAAAAGAAGTCGACAATAGTAATGACAAAATATCCATTTGCCACATTTTATTGTCCCCTGTGCCATTAACTTGTATCAGCAGTCGATGCAGGGTTTAAGCAGTAAATAAGACACCAAACGGTTTCAAGCGCGAACTCATTTGCATATAAAACCGTTAAAAAGTATTTATTTTAAATGTGCAATTGTAGAGACTGTCTGGAGATATAATTAAAACAAACAATCACTATAAAAATCACAGTCGTTTAATATTAATTCATAAATACTGGTACTTAAGATACCGACGAAGAGAATTACGAAAGATAGCATAATTAAAATTTAACTATTAGAGCTAGAATGTTGTGAATTGCGAGTAAGATATGTACGCCCGACGTCTTTGGTCTGTCGAAATCGCAGAAAGAAAACTTAAAACAAAACAATTATCAATAAATATATCACATAAAGTAACATTGGATTTTTGAACGATTGAAAAATCGATGACACGGACGTGACTACAAGACCTAAACCGATCTAAACAAAACACTTTAGCGTTTTAAAACGCAACATATACGCGGAAAGTCTCCGCAAGCACCACGCCTGCTAAGCATCCAAAACGACAAACCGTAGCTAAAACAATTTGTCAATAAGTAACTAATAAATATATTAACATTTTAAACCGTTAAAGTGGTTTATTTAAATGTGACCTATCGGTGCCGTTTTTCTACAACAGGGAATCGGACAGAGAAGTCTCAAATCTATTTATTTCAAAGCAATATGCGGTTTTATGATTATTACACACTACGGTGACCAATCACAACGCATGACGTCATTTGTGGGCAATCTTTAAATACTACATAACGTCACGCGTTGTTTCTTTTCACGTTGCGTTTTGGCGGCATTTTAAATAAACAATATTGAAACACGATTTTCAGTACTTCAAAATAAGTGAGTTATTATTTTTAATCGAAATAAGTATCCATAAAGATTTACTTAAAACACATTTTGGAACTGTCACTGTATTCATCCGATTTTTTAGCGATACTTTTATGCACCTCTAGCGTAATGTAATGTCAATTGTAATACTAAACTAAAACAATGAATATCAGGTTCCCGTTTTAAATCTGTCATATCTCTTTCAAAACTAACACTCTTTCAATTTACATACTCATGAGCTGTTTCGTATTTGTAAAATCATATAATACTATGAGTTGTAATGATCAAATGTGTGTTGTATGTATCAAGTCTACAAATGTTGCCACATTTGTACCATACGAGAGATAATATATATGAAATATTGAGTCAAACTTATCTCTACTTCAAAGATCTTTTCCGAGTCTTCTGGGTCGCTTATGTATTCTCTAGGATTCTGAATCTTATTGCTATTTAAAACAAATAGAGATAAATTTGAACAAAAATCTAAGCTATTAATAGATTGTCTATGGAACAATCTTTACATACGATAGATACGTAAGACAATATGTACCTATTTAAGAATACATAAGAATCTCAAGAAATCACAGTTGTAACCATAATAAATGAAGATAAAAATCATCATGATATAATTTCCATTTATATTAAATATATGAGTAAAAATGTACAAATAAAAAATGGCGACTATCACAAGATTATTACGATAAAAATCACCTTATTGTACTGTAGTAAAAATAATAAATATGGATGGTTAAAAACTTGTTAATGTTTGACAATTAAACTGCTGTTTTGTGGCTCATATTAGTAAATATCATCTAATAGAATACTGTCACCGTTAGTATTTTTACTGCCGTAAACTTGAAAATATCCTAACGTGTTACTAATTTTAGTAAGATTACAAGATTCCGACATCACACTGTCAAATAGTGAAATTACTTCCAGCACATACATCCAAGTACTTTTGACGTTCATTCGCCATTTTGTTCGTTGGCCTTGGTAATGATGAATGTTGTCGTAATAATTTTATATATCATTTATCTGTATATATTCAGAGTAGCCAGCTACTTACATATTTCGGAGATCGTTAAAATTACATAGGAGTGTACCGATGCGACTCAAACAAAATATTTATCTAATGAATTAAAACAATTAATAATATCTAAACGTAATGTGATTTCGACAGACTTCATAACAGTAGACCATATTCAGAAAAACCTACCAGAATAGAAAGCGTACGTGTAAACGCTACTTATACAATGATTACATGAAATAATATCAATTATTAACTTAAAATTAAGTCATGGGCCCAATCAACTATAAAACCTTAACCTAGTTATACGTATAAACAATTATCGACTAAGTCGAACTGCCAACTATAAAGCTAATTATTTCGAAAACTATATAAACCTACGTCGACCACTATTTCGCCGGCATTTATAGAGTACGGCTGACAGCAGCCGTCAATGTCATACGTCAGCTGTCAGTTTTACGCGGCAACTGACAGGGCAGTGTTGCTAGAACTCGATAAAATGGAAAGGTAATTATCACCGTGAAAACGAAGCGGTTTGTGCTCTACTGCATCATCTTCAACTTGAATCTTAGAACTAGATAGGAGATTACTCTAATAAATACAAAGAACGCGCTGAGAGCGCCGACGTCTATCCAGAAGTTGGCGTCATCCATTGTCATTTCCTTGAGAAACAGACTCGGGGTCCGGAAGTGGCAATACGCTATTGAGCAGTTGAGTTTTTCTCTTCCGTATCCGTACACGGACAACATGGCGCCTTCGAAGCCGTATCTAATGTAGCTGACGTAGGTCAGCCAGGATAAGTACTCCGGAATGGCATTAAAATTGACAAAGAAACCGGAGAACAGTACCACTGGAATGGTAGTCACGGGGCCGAGGTAGACGCCGGTTTCAATTTTCATAGCGGCTCCGATGAGAAGACCGAGCGATTGAGCTACCAATGCAGTGAGGATGTTGACAGTGGTGAACATGAGCACCCGGTCTAGCTGCATCGGCTGACTAGTCATGAAGTACACTATTATCACATATACGCCGCTAAACACGATCTGAAACCATCGAAATCAATATATCAAAAAAAACGTTAATTATTTTGAGGGGTCGTCATATTTGCTTACCATATTGGCCAGTCATGAAACTTTTTTCATAACTGGCCAATAAATAAACTATACTGTGCTTGTGACTACGAAGTCAATATTTCAAACTGTTCGTGATTCGACGATTAAAACATTTTAAAGACATATAGTTAAACAATCAAATTATAATACACAATTTATTTTTTAGAGCAAATCCTATTGGTTGATAGCGTTATAGGTAACATTTATTGGCAATATGATATGGGGCAGACATAATTCTGTCTCTTCACTATACAATTTTGTTAATAAACATGTAGTTTTTCACAGGGAAAAGCACAGAAGCTTAAACCAAACTAATTATTTTTGGTTCTCGGTGATTTCAACCTATAGCGCTCAACTCCATAATGAACTAATGAATATTGATAAAGAGTAACAAGAAAATATATTTACCTGGAAAGGCAAATCCGCTATCGTTTTAGCAAAGTAGAAGGCTTTCAACGAGTACCAGTAATTCAGGTGCTCTCTCACAAACACGCTCATTTCCGTTGGGACTAGAATACAAATAACCAAATGTCAGATTAGATATTTTTTATGAGGACACCATGCAGTAACTTCTTAGCAAACAAACGACTATACTGTCTTGTAACCAGTGTAAAAGTTATTATAAGATGCATTTGTTTTTAAAAATTAAGTGGCTAGTGAAGAACACTTGTTTTAAATTCAAAAAAAGCAAATCATAGTTTGAATTTTGATATTTACTATGTTAATATTAATTTATAAATACTCAAATACTGTCTGTAATTAGCACGAATAATACATTAACAAAATACTTTAACGATTTAAAACGTAATGTAACTAATTTAAACTTGTTTAGAAATAATTTAGCTACGGCCTGACGTTTCGGATGCTGTGCAGCTTGGTCACAGGTCTTCCTGTATTAAACCGTTAAGTGTTATATTAAAATACTATTATAGACTGCTGTAATCAAATTTTAACCTTAGTGTTAAATTTTTAATAGCTGTAATATTTTTAAATATATCAAACTTACATGTAAGAATTGTAGGCATCATTGCGGTGAACATCGTAAACATAACAGTGAAGAAGATACAGCCAGCGTTGCTCATCACTTTCGCTGCATCGGTTCCAATATCATAATAAAGGATACCGATTAAAAGTCCCACCACAGTATGAGACACCAGCCGTAAATGGGTCAGCATGGGATCTCTTAAAATGCTCTTGAAGGTCCGTTTCAATAAGATCCAGAACTGCTTCCATCCGGACGTGGGGAATCCGGTCTTTTGTGGCTTCTTGTTGAAGCTTTCGTTGGAGTCAAGGAGAGATGTTGTGCAGGTAACTGGTGCGAGGTTGTTCGTGTTGGGGAGGGGTAGTTTCTCTGTTGTTGTTGGCTCGATGTTAGAGAGATCAAGAACCGTGCACGTGGGTTTATCTGCAAGACGTTTATAATTATTTAATTGTTTTGTTAAATACTAACGTCTATAGCTATTTACGCGAGTAGTACACATTTAAATAAAACACTTTAACGGTTTAACGCCATATATTAGTTAAACTTATTTGAAAATGATTTTTAACTTCGGCCCGACGTTTCGGATGCTTTGCAGCAGCCGTGGTCACGGGGAGACTCAAAAAAAAGGGGTCATTTTCAAATAAGTTTAACTAATATATCGCGTTTTAAACCGTTACAGTGTTTTATTTAAATGTGTACTACTCGCGTAAACTATAGACAGTATTTACTACAATGTATATACTTATATTGTACATACATAAGATAATTGATATTCTAATTGCCAAACAACGTTTACACCACGTTGGTTGACCACATAACTGTCACGGTATTGAAAAGATTGCGGTTACAAATAGTTCAATGAACGATCAATGTGACATACATTTGTATATATGTTCCCGTATGTACTCGTGATATATTTAACATAGATATCATGAAAATGTTTGTAAATCATATGATGCTCATATTTACTTATGTAAATCGTGTTGTTATATAACTATGTTTTATACAGACGACAGACAGATATACTATACAGGGTTATATACAGGGTTATATACAGGGTTCACTTGATTGAAGATGAAGATGATGATGAAGATTTTTAAGCCAGCTTAATCTGAACAAGATGCACTGACAACCTATTTTTGGCTTGTATTTTGGAAAACACACAGCTTGAAATGGAATCGCGAAGAAAATTCACGTCTTCTCTGTGGATCTGTTCGTCCCCCGGACAGCATTTTCAATATATAACACGCGTTTGATACCCAGATTGCAGGGCAAAGTTTAAAACAACGTAAATAAAACCAAGCCTTTCATTTACCCGAGTGGTATACATGAAATGTAACACCTTTTAAACGTTTCAAATGCAAAATATTTTAGTAAATTAATGTTTAACTACTACCCGATGTTTTGCCAGAATGTATCAAACATTTGGGATTCCGCATTAAAAATCGAAATCTCCATAAACAGCACGCCGGTAAGAAAGAAAAAACCGTGAATCAGTTCTATGATAGACCGACAGAAGGCGCTAGAAGACGTTTGCGACCTCGGCTGGGTGAAAGGATAAAAAAAAACGGTTTATAGTTGAAAGATTATCAAATGATTTTTTTTCTTGTTGGTTTCGTTCTACACCGTTAAAAAGTGCTTCAATTATAATACGTTTGAAATATCATCATTTTTTTGTTAATTTAGAGGCTTGTCGGATGTTAGTACTTGAAAAAAAATTGATGTATCTTGACATCATGAACGACACGACACGAATTTATTATTTAAATATAGAAAGACCCCTATTTTTAATTTTAATTAGCGTCTTACCAATAACAATTTCCAATGCCTCTTTCTGTATGTTGTTCTTAGCTACGTTGTTGTACAAACAGTTCGAGGCGGAAGAAGATGAGCTGGTAGTCTGCACCCGCTCCGCATGAGGCTTCTTCACAGCCAGTACCAGCTTGTGTACCCATTCTCCGTGCTCACCAGTAGCTACTTCCATTACTGTAAAATGAAACGCGTGATTAAAAAAAGTGCAATAAGTGACTGCAATTTAAAATTAGAATTATGGTGAAAGTAACAAACAATTTGACATTTAGAGGCTTTTTAAGCCGTGTTCTATCAAATAAGGGAGGGTTTTTTTTTTTTTGGGGGGAAATTTCGGGGAATTTTTTTTTTTTTTTTAAAAATCTTTTTTATTAGTTGGAGCATTGATCGAATATGAGGTCATAAAACATTTTGCTCCAACTTATAGGAGCAAAAAAACAGTGCGCATGCGCTGGAAAACTGCGGTTTAAGATACCCAAAGAAATAAGTATTACTCTTTGGATAATCTAAAAAAAATGTCTATAATATAAATTTATCTTTTTATGATAATCAAATTTTGGTCGAAATACTTCATATGGCAAAATAACGTTTGCTAAGTCAGTAGTGAGTTGAACCTCGTTTTAAACTCGTTTAATGTGACCTATTTGTGTTAACTACAGACACAAGTTAATTCGATATAATTTAAAATCATACCATAATCCGCTGGGTTGTGGTAACTGGGACAATGCAAGCCCATAGTAGACAAGAATGGAACCAGTTCCTTCACAGGTCCCTGGTAAATGCATTGCCCTTCCGCCAGTGTATACAAGCAATCAAACATTTCAAATAATCTCGCCGATGGCTGGTGTATGGTGCAAATGATCGTCCTTCCACCTCTAGCCAAAGATTTCAATAAAGATATACACTGGAAACACGACGAGCTGTCCAGACCAGAAGTTGGCTCGTCGAAGAACATCACAGGGGGGTTATTCACCAGCTCCAGAGCAATGGAGAGCCGCTTCCTCTGACCACCAGATAAATTGATGGTGCGAGTGTCGCCAGCGTCGCTTAACGTTAACATTTCGAGAATTTCATCTATAACAATTTTCTTTGCGGTGACCGTCATGTCTTTACCGAGCTTGAGATTGGCGGACACTGTCATGGCCTCTCGCACTGTCAGGTGTGGGAGGAGGCAGTCGTCCTGCATGATGTAGCAGGATAGTTTTCTGAAGCGTCGGAGATTCCTCTCTTTTCCGTTGATCAAGATTGAACCGCTTACGTTGGAGGTTCTGTAAACATAAGACTCTGTATAAATTTCGTATGGTCATATACATTAGCAAATTATTTCACAGTGACTAAAAAGAAATCGATAAAATTTGTTGTTGATGGTAAAACTAAGTAAGTTAGCTGAGGGTCCCTGTTTTATCGATTGTTTGTAACCTTAGATTGTACAAAAAAAAAAATACGGGTACGGAAGACGTAATAAAAATATGAAAACGAACTGTGGAGCAAGATAAAAGGATAGAGAAGAATTAAGGAAATGCAAGAAAGGGCAACCGTAAAGGATTCTTCGTTCTAAAATAAATCCAAAATAATAAAGGTCAACCGCACATCTTGTTTAGATGTGTATATGGCAGGGGTATTCCACCTACCATCAAGTTTGAATGAAAAAAAATAAAATATACTTTATTGTCTTTAAAATTTTAAAAATTATTCACATTCGTCAAAAAATGTTTGTTTGTCTGTCTGTCATGATTCTACAGAGTGTTCCAAAGAGCTACATGACCGAGAAGAACACCCAAGACATTCATTCTGGCTTTTTAAACGTAAATACATAATAGGCTAATACATTTTTTGTGAATTCATTAACCTTAGGAGCAAATCCTTGATATAAATGAATTGCTCCTTACGCATTCTTGTAAATATAGAAATCTTTCATGTTTGCCTGTCTTTCTCAAATTTATGTTACTTACTTGTATCCAGCAAGGATATTCATCAGTGTGCTTTTACCAGCACCTGAAGGGCCCATGATGGCAGTCAGTTCACTGGATCGAAAGGTGCCATTGATGCATTTCAGCAGAGTCTTGTAACCTCGCTTTCTTCCTTCGCTGACTGAGTAAGAGAGATCAGAGAACTCGATGTCCACTGGTGGCCGTTTTGGAAGATGTGTAAGGGTGGCCATAGGTTTCTTTTGACATGCTGATCCGTTCGGGATCTTCGGAACGAGTCCCATAGAACCCGCTCCACCATTGCAAAGATTTATTTGCGATCCCCTGAAAATTAAATTAACATATATTTATTGATCTGCAAGAGATAGTTATGATGTGAGATGGGTGGAGATAAACATTTTATGTAGCAGATTAAAAATTTAATTAGATTGAAATAAAAATTGATGACCTGGGCGGGATTTCAATTAGTTTCCATTTAAACCTCCATTTTAATCATTAAGTGAACAGTTAATATAAATTTATTTTAGATTGAAACATATTGATGACGAGCTGGACTAAAATTTAGAAGATTTACGTGAACAGGCATCCACAGCATAGATGCCGAAGCCATAAATGCCGGTCCATAAGCCCGTGTTGTATTTTATTTGTATAAAAAAAAACATTTATATAATGCCATAATATGTGAAAACTATTAATTATATATAGAAACGTGTACTCAGTACTACTAAGGGGAAACACATAGGACGATAGAAGCTCGAGATTCGATGGAAGTTGAAAATGCTCCAGCCCTCAAATTCAGATGTGTTATCGACCTATTTGAACTGATTGAAACCACAATGCCAATTTCTATTTTACGGCTCTTCGGGTGGACGGGATTTAGATATTCCTACCCCCCATTTGATGTCAAGAGGTTGCAGACGCTGAATCAAAGATGATAATATAAGCCAGCAACTCATCACCCGTGCAACATTACACCAGCGTGTTATTATTCCATCAAATGTAAACATTAATTAAACTACGTTGCATAAATAATACTTATTTGACTTCACCTATGTGGCACGTGCCACCTCGTGACCTTGAACTTGAAGAAATGCTCACGTAACATCACTTTGAAGAATAGCTTGCATTCTTGAGTTTTAATTGGTTATTATTTAATCTTTTGTAGGAACTGTATGTATTTCTTTTGACTATGTCAACATATTGAAATAAAACACTTTAACGGTTTGAATATTATTTCAACTACGGTCCGACGTTTCGGATGCTTTGCAGAAGCCGTGGTCATGGAGAGACCCTTAAGTTTAAATAATATATATCGCGTTTTTAAACCGTTATAGGGTTTTATTTTAATATTTAATGTAAACATATTTAAATAAAACACTTATAATGTAAACATATCAGTAAACTTATTTACAGACCCGTAGCTGGGCCAAAATACTTTTAAGTGCCTAATCCGAGAACACAATTCAGATTTTTTTTTCAAAATTGAAATACTTAATTTCCTTTTTTTAAATGCTGAAATAGATATGTTATAGTTCTATTTATAACACACCTACCTCACACGATGGTTTAAATGATTTAATAATATTTATAGCATATAATACATCAAGTTGTCGAGAAATTAAACAACTGCGTAACTATTTTACAGATGAGGTTATTATTTAATAAATCGGACATTGAGACTTAATAATACGTCAGTTTTAAAGTGTAGTGATTATATAAATCACCTATAAAGCAAAATCACAGAAATAATCTTTCTCGAATATTCATGTTTGATTAGATACACTGCGTTACCTTGTTAAATATTAAAACTTAAACTTTTCCATAAATTACAAAAATAAACTTAAAATTAATCCAATTGACAGTTTGTTCTGTCATAAATAGTACGTACGTAAAATTTAAGACATTTTTGACAATAAGAGTCCTTTGTTAATTAAAGATACAATAAAAACAAGAGGGACACAAAAGTACGCAGTATTAATCTTCGTAACACAGTAGTATTTTTTATATACACTTTGTAGTTTTAATAGAGATCTTTATAACAAAGCAATTTTAACTGTTCATGACTCGACATAAAATTAAGTACCTCAAGTAACATAAAACTTTGCTAGTCAATATTTGTTAAGAATTAATATACCTTGATGAGAAAATCAACTGTATAAACACAGGCACTTATCTTCAGTCTCTCTCAAATTTTTTGCTTGTCATAATTGAAGTATAATCTTTTACCTTTCACGACAAGTTTGGGGTTAGGGACAATTTCTAGAATGTTTTCGTATGGTTCGTAATATCGGTATCTACTGCTTGAATCTTTTGCCATGTCGTCAATTGTCTTGTAAAATAATTTTAACGTCCCCTTCTTCATCAACTTTACTTTTAACAACACCAAGGAAAGTATATTATTTTTCCTTAACATAAGTAACTTTTACTAAAACATGGACACCTTCATATATCTTCGTAGGATGAACATTTTGCATTTTTTTGAAATTGCTGTATTTCACGTGCGTCTTCCTGTACGTTAGATGTTGACCTTGGCACAACTTGATAAGGGCTTCTCGTCAGAGCTAGAAGACGATATAAACTTCAATAAATCTTGTAATACGTACCTTAAAGGTACGCAACATATTAGTATTCAGGACTTTCATTTCCGATCATCAAATGGAACGTCTTCTTTACGTGTGTCAATGATGGGATATGTTTGTATGCAGGCTTATATGTTTTTGGATTCTGCACTAAAAAAACCCTCTTGCAAAAAAATAAGGTCTCTTTAGCGAAGTTCACCCAAAGTGTGAGTAAAAACCTGATGTATTGCATCGTACCCTGAAGTGGCACTAGACTTTCAGGTAGTGTTTTTTCAACGTTATGAATATCACTGTCAGTCAGTGTCACCAAGTAAAAACGGACCTTGCCAAGTCTTTTAGGTGTCAAAAAATCTCTCATAGAAATTGACCTTTTTTCTCATCTTTGAGAGCCGCCACTACGCCCCTTTGCCATGCCCAGCTTCAAAGAAATTCCATGTAACGCGTATGATCTTTTACTCAGTGAATATTCTGTGACTAATGAAATAAAAATTTTGCTTCTGTGATACTAGTAGCTGGTCCATCGAAAAAAATGAATTGTAGTTTGTAGGATTGTTTGTTGTTGTCACTAATTATTGGATGTAAGTGTGCCCAGATAGGGCTGGATTATTAGAATTATTTGCAGATATGGTACGAAATTCTCATAATCCAGCTTCAGCATTTTTTACCGGGTCTTGTTTCAATTTTTATCTATAGCGACGTTGTTTTTCTGCGTTTGTCAGCGCCATTTAGGACAGAAACTCTTTCTGAGAAAAAAATAAATTTTCCTCTTTCGGATTTAATAACGTATACTGTTTATAAGTAACAAAAACACTACGTTATCTATCTAACTCTCGTTACTTTTTTTTGTAACGCAGTGTAGCAGTTACGCAGTTGAAATTTTGACAAATTGTAAATATTTCCAATCAAATAATAAACCAGATATTTTTACACTCACGATTGCAAACAACCATGCGTAATAAAACAAAAACGTGAAATATCGTCAGACGTAACATTAACAGCGGTACACACACAATAGATACACGCACCTCCTTCACGGACCGGGACGCGACCACACGGCAGAGTACTCCCAACGCTTTGCTGTCGTTTGTTAAACAGTTACTCAAATCGAACCAAATAATGTGCAAGTAACCTTAATCCAATCATTTTAAAGTCTTTTTTCATACAGTAACGCAAGGTCTCGATATTGTTACTCGTTGGGGACACAGATACATTAATTTTTTATTTTACTAAATCTTCAATTTAAAACGTTTCTAATGCCATTCTAATAACGTCCAAACCTTGCATTTTTATTATACCATCTATAATTAACCGCCACCTAGGAAATATTTTGAGAAATTGTTCCGTATAGTTTGGCACACATGCTCAGGGACTGATTTAGTATGAAAAACGGCTCGTCTAAAAATGGCAACTTTGTTACTGTAAATTTTCAATTAATAACAATTATTTCAGTTCAAATCATGTGTTTTGTATTAGATAATAATGTTAAATTTTAAAATAATTATACTATTGTCACAATTTTGTAACCCACTCGCATTAAATGTAATGTTAATTCCAGGGACTGGTTTTTAGGCATAAAAAAGTATTTTGGCCCAGCTACATTGTTAGAACGCTAACTAAAATATTTCTCGTTTTAACCCGTTAAAAGTGTTCAATTAAAAATTGCGTAAACTACAAAAAAATAACATATTTTTTATTTATATGAAACTAAATGCTATTAATTTACCAAGACTAGAATTAGAAAACATTTATAACTTGCTTGGGCTTAAATCAATAAAACGTATACAGCCTAGCTAGGTAGCACGGGACAGTATGGAACGCTGTAATCTTGGGTTCGACTCCTGTTCATGTTAAATTTATTGATAGAGTTCATGTTAAATTATTTATTGATAAAGTTTTAATAGTCTAAGGGTGTAAACGTAAACCTGTAGAGGAAAAATTTGCTTTAGCTTGCTTTAGATGATTTGGCTTGTGTTTATAACAAATACATTCAATACACCAATTAAAAAATCATTTTGTTATACAAGACTTGTAGATATCACTAATCAGTACTTATATGAGAAAGTTGGAAACTTGCTAAGATCATTTTACTGTTTACATGCACTCAATCCAATGTTTAACTTACATTTATTTATTATTAAATTGATACCGTAACTATATATTTATATCCTTTGTAAAAAGTAAAGTGTTTGCTTTAAAAGTAACAATTAATCAAGAAGTGTCTGTAGTTTACATAAGGACACTTTTAAATAAAATAATATTAATAAAATACAAAAAGATTTTTTTCAATTCGAAACCGTACTTCCTGAGATTAGCGCGTTCAAACAAACAAACAAACTCTTCAGCTTTATATATTAAGTATAGAGTATAGATATATAAATTAGTAGTTATATATAAATTATACAAATATCTAGAACACTGAACAATAGATGTCTACCGCCAAGTCTAGAGTGAATTACAGCAACACCGCAGTGTGGTGACGTAGGAATATATTAGTTGCCAGAATATATAGCTTAACAGATATAATATAACACATTTGTGACGTTCTCCCTACCACTGGAACTAATTTAAATATCTACTTGCCAATATTGGGAAACAACTAATCGATTTCCTATAACAATTACTAATATGAATAAATTGTTAACGGAACGCAAATATGTTTGGTAATAAAGTTTTTTTTTATTATTTTATTTATCAGAGGAAACGCGAGATTTTTTGATAATTGATTCGTAAGTATATGGTTATAAGTTTTCGGAAAGACTCTCTGTTGAGGGTTCCATGCTGAAAAGGCAAAACGACCTCTAAATGGAAGACTTCGGCGTCCGTTACCATTCTCAACCACCGTGCTACAGAGTTGAATATTTTACAAATTATTTATATATATATATATATTTCATAGTTGCAAGACAACGTAGAATTCCATATTAGAAACGCAATTTTATTGCCATTGTTCGATATAAATAATGGTAATACGTAGATTTACAAAACAGTATTAGATAGCCACAGTTATCCGTGTAAAAATATACGAATTCGATGACGCCAAGTGTTAACCGTTAAGAAGATTTAAATATAGCGCGAATGACCGCGATCTTAGAGATAGAGGAAGCATATATTCAGACAAGAAGCCTGGAATTACATTTTACAATAATAAGGACTTAAACGTGTGTGATTTAATATTATTTAAAATATAAAAAAATTCATCAAAATGCTATTATTAAGACATAAAAGTCTAATTAACTTAACTGTAAAAGAACTGGATCAGTGAAACGGACACTGTAATGTGATTTCAGTTTCAGAATTTTCGAAGTGGGTTATAGGGGGACTCCCCACCAGGTCAATTTTTCTAATCTATTAAATTTTTTTACTGAAACATGTTGGACTTCGTCTGGAAATCTGGATCTTGAATGGGCGGTAGGAATATCGAAAATTCCTAAGGGTGCCACAGATGAAAGAGCCGTCAGATTAAACAGAAGTTTAATCGCGTTGCGTTCGTGGATTTCCGAATATCCAAAATAGTTCTACAGCGTACCTTTTAAATATTATATAGTAGGAGTATTTCGCCAACCACCAGATGAAAGAGCCGAGAAGTTTAATGACGTTTCGGTTTCAGTCTGACGATTTCCGAATATCCAACGCTTATATAGGTCGACAGCGCACCTTGTTTAAATCCTATAGGCCGAGGTATTTCACCTACCATCAAGTGAACCACATGCTTGTCTCCTCTATCATTAAAAAATAGAAACTACAATATTTACCCCAAAACCTGTCCATTGTTGAGCTGTTCTGGTGGGGACTTGATCTGCGAGAAGGTCACTTTGTCGCTGATCTCGCCGCGGCTCCCACGGCTGATCAGCGGCAAATGGATCTGGGTACCCTTCGACTCCATCTTCTTTCCTGACGTCATCGCTGCCAGCTCATCCTGGTAACTCTGCAATAAGAAAAATATATATATATATATTACTAAAACTAAATGGAGTTTAAGGCGCCATCGCATATAGCGTAATCGGCCTTTAAAAACTCACACAATTTATTTTACCATGGCAAAGAGGTAATGACTTACAATCGTCTTTGTTGTGCGTTTGAAGTTTAAGTTATTAACATCTTAATGCTGTATACGCGAGTAGTACAAATTAAAATAAAACACTTTGAACGGTTTATAACGCAAAATGATTAAATTTATTTGCAAATTATTTTATCTAACCCAATGTTTAGAGCCGGCCGTAGTCACGGGGAGACATATAAGTAACTAATATAATTAGCAATATTTTAGTCATAAGAAACCATAATTGTAAAACTAAAAATATTTCCATTACTAAATTAAATACTTAGCTTACGAACGAGCTCTATTCATGGATTTTTAACAAGTAATTACTACTTTCCTGCTTAAGTGTCTATTTATATATTTTTTTTGCTAAAAATAATTTGGTATCGTTTATATTTTACGCGAGTAGGTTAAAACGGAGTGTCTCCCGACGTCAAATCCGCTACGCTAGCGACATCTGTTCCGTCGTAAATGATATTTGATGAAACTGGTGGGACAGGGAATTAATAAATATATATTTCTCTTTAGAGTAACAATTTTAGGTTCTTTCAAAATAGGTTTAAACCTTAACTTAATTCTTTTGTCGTACATACGTTGTTCTAATTACAAAAATATCATTGTTTAGTTGTACAAGTAGTTCAACGCAGAGACATCGCGAAAAGCCACTTCAGTATAACGTGGTTATGCAAGTTGGGAACGGTTATTGTCTCCCGTCGCCTTGGTTACTTAAAACCACCCACGCGAAAGATGCGAGGGTGGCGGGTGGATTTTACGAGCGTTGTGCCAGTTCAACTTTTCTGAAAGGGATTTTAAAATGCATTCATTGTTCTATTCACCCACATCACTATCTAGGAAAGCGCATCAAATTGCACAACAAACACAATTAGTTATAGGTCAACCGCCTACATAGCTGAATGGTAAAAACGCATTGTATGTGCCTTTTCCCGCTTTGTAAATAAAATGTTAAGATGACGTCCCACAGTCTTATTTTCGTAATTCGTTGTTCTAGAAAAAGGCGCGAACATTGACAATTGACATTTTTGGCACAGATGGCACAGATTATGCTTACATCTGACATTGCATAAACTGTCAAGAGCAAGATTATAGTTTCCGTCGGTCCCGCAGAAGTCTAATATTCATGGAAATAAATCTTTGAAGCAGACACAAAGACGTGTCTGCCCTAAACCCGCGCAGGAAAATCAAGGATTCGTTGTGAAAATTTGGGACACCTACTTTAATTTAATTATAAACAAAACTTTCGATACTACGAAAGTATTACTACATATTAAGGGTTTATTGTTTTTTTTATCTAATAAAACATACAAGTGGAAACAATACTTCTCACTTATTTACCTTCATAATAAGTAAAAAAAATATAGATCTACAAGTTTTTTTTACACTTCCAAGACTCACTTCCATCGTCAGTAAGAAGTTTCTATGTTCTAGAATCTAGATACTTCTAAGTAAACTATGTAAGGATATCAAAACGTTTAGGCATTAGATATAATTAAACTCGGTCTAGATTAAAACAAAGTCAAGGCAAAGCCATAATTAACTGATGTCGTGTACTGCGAACAGCGAATACAATGGTCTGCGATATTGAATTGTATGCCAATCATTTATTTAACTTTGAGTAGAGTTTTTCGATATATTTATTTCGTTTAAATAAAACATTTTTAACGGTTTAAAACGCGAAACGTATTCGTTAACTAATTTACAATTTATTTCAAGTATGTATAGTTCAATGCAAAGCATCCGAAAGTACTGGGACTACTGGATCGAATCGAAAAAAATATTTTAGTGTTGGTTAGACCAATTATCAAGGAAGGCTCTGGTTCGATCAGGTTACGACCAATAGGAGAGAAGAAACAGAGGAAAATGTGGAAAGACGGGAAAATGTATACGGGTATCTTTATGAATGTAAAGATATCCGAAACATATGTATGAAAGTATGATTTCTAAATAAAACACTTTAACGGTTTAAAACGCGATATATTAGTTAAACTTATTTGGAGTCTCACCGTGACCACGGCTGCTGCAAAGCATCTGAAACGTCGGGCCGAAGTTAAAAATCATTTTCAAATAAGTTTAACTAATATATCGCGTTTTAAACCGTTAAAGTGTTTTATTTAAATGTGTACTACTCGCGTAAACTATAGACAGTATTTAGTATGATTTCTCTTTAAATTATCTAAAAATGTCTACGATGGTATATGCGCAAGAACGACGGGAAGCGGACGATGTCCACGATACAGCTATAATTAATAAAGATGAGGAGGTTTGCAAAAGCAAATTTCGATCCCTAACATAATTATACTACGCGGACGAAGTCGCAGACAAAGCTAGTACCTAATAAATATTATATTACATCCGATAGTCGACAGTACTTTCATTATACGTATTAAAATTATTGCAATGTGACCTTAATTTAAACAAGGGTCTTTGTGCATAACATACTCTGTTTATTAATTTTAATAGAGCTACTCTATGTATATTTCTTAGAAATATTAAAACAACTCGCCGGTCCAAAGGTATTTACTCAAATGTATGGTTAACCGAAGGGATAATAATAATCTTAATATTCATCTAATAATCCTGATTTAACATCAAATCTGTGTTTTTATTGGTGTAATAATATTTATATATTTTTTCAAAAACACGTTCTTTCGACTTCATTTAAAGAATCTAGACAATTAATGGTTAAGCCGTATCCATGGTTCATAGTTGAAATAGTCGTACAGTGTAAATCTGCGTTTTGATTTCAGTCAGTGAACTTTAGATTCAAATTCACGATTAAAAAAAGGTTGATAGCATATTTTAATTAGATGTGGGGATGTTAGAAGGTGATATACTAGATTGGAGACCACGATTAGGCAAACGCAGTGTAGGACGACCTACAGCACGGTGGACAGATGACCTGAAGAAAGTGGCCGGCAGCAAATGGATAAATAGAGCTCAAGAGAGGGCCGAGTGGCATGCCTCGGGAGAGGCCTACGTCCAGCAGTGGACCCAAACGGGCTGATAATGATGATGATGATGATATCACCTTACATCAAGTGACCACCACACCAGTCTGTTATGAATACTAATTTATTTCATCTTTGAGGGCTTCTTGCGTGCGCCGCGAAAACGGTTTAAGTAACCAAAAAATATGTATGAAAGAATGACGCTAATTAAAAAAAAATTCAACGGGAATATATGTATGTTTATTTTTTAAGATTATCTCGCTAGAACGTGGACGAAGTCGCTGGCACAGCTTGTAATTTATAATACTGAGGAGGTTGTTTGAAAAACAATTAATATAAAGCCCGAACTATTCTACGCGGACGAAGTCGCGGGCACAACAATATATTAGAAATTGTCACAGTCCTCTTTGTGAAAGATTTAACGCAATCAGGTTGCTAGGCAACCGTATTTTTTGCATAACAATTTCATGACGGAACTGGCGAACTGTACTAAGGTCATTGACTGTGATCTTTATAAGTATTGAAAAGAATATAATTGTATACCGTTAAAATGGACAATCAGCGGTAAACTATGAACCGTTTATATCGTATTAGAATGTACGAAATATCGTATTCACACACAGTTGACCTTATTACTCCATATATGTAAAGGATAATGGAAAAATCGTTAAGTTTGATCGCGTTTCGATTTCAGTCTGTGGATGTCCGAATATACAAAGCCAAAATAGGTCGACTTCGCATCGGTTTTAAATTTTATATGGCAGGGTTATTTCAACTTCCATCAAGTAAACGCCACGCATGTTTGTGCTCTATCATAAAAAAAAATATCCATAAATACGGGTGATGAGTCCTTAATAAACTATATATAGTGTTAACGCGAGTAGCACACGTTTAACGGTAATGCAGCAATGGAACACTTTTAACGGTTTAAAACGTGAAATACATATATTGTGTGTGAAATCCCGTTTTCCCCTCGTGGAGTCATATTTTTGTGTCCGTTTTACAGATCGTATTTTAACAGGCAAGTAGTTGATCAGACTTCTGTGCCCTGCCCGATCGAAACTATTTTTTGTTTCCCTGGGATTCGAACCCAGGACCTCTCGCGCTTTACGCAATGCTAGGCAACGTTTAACCATTTGGCTACAGAGGCGGAAATATATAACTCAGTTCTAATTTATTTTAACTGCAGCCCGACATTTCGGATGCTATGCTGCAGTCGTTAAAAATGTTGTCATCTTATACGTATATTTCGCGTTTTAAACGATTAAAGGTGTTTTGTTCGGGACAACAAAAACTCATACAATGATTCAGTAATTTGTATTGTGCCCGATTCCTTTGATTAGAATGCACACATTGTAATTATCATTATCTTTAATCTTGACGTAAGGGCTAAAAAATCGTTTTGATAAGCGTCTATTAAATTATTAACATTGAATTCTTTAGCTTCTTATAATGTATTTATTTAAATTTGCACATTACATAAATTTTAAACTTAACTAAAGTAACTTAAGCGCAAATATACATTATACAACAAAGAATCTTGCTATCCTTAAGATTAATAAATAATATATTTTTATTTTATAAATTTACCACATATAATCAATTGTCTCATTGCTCTAGGTAGAGAAGTTGGCAACGGACTTTGAGGTCCAGGATTGGAATCCCGGTATGGCGAAATCTTGCTTTGGTATTTAGAATTTGCCAGTTTTTTTGTCCTAACCCAGAATTCAAATAGAAAGTATACCACCCCGTGCTCTTAAAGCTCTTACTACACTAAAGGCATTACTTGTTAAAGCCCACCAACCCACACTGGTACAGCGTGGTGAATGTAACTCTCTTATATAAAGAGAGACTTGTGCCCACATGTGCATGAAGTACCTACTGTTATATTAGTTTAATACAATTTACCACACAAATGTTTAAAGATTTTTAGACTGCATTAATTCACTTTTAACGGTTTAAAACGCCATTTTAGTTACTTGTTATGTATACCTATATTAAACTTAATAGCTAAATAGTTAAACGTGTCGCCTAGTTAGGCGTTACGACAAGCGCGAGTCCTAGTTTTAAATCCCGGAAAACAATAGACTGTTTAGGCCTGGCAGGACACAGAAGTCTGATTACTTGCCTGTAAACGAACCGTTCAGAGAAGTATGTTCGCCCCACGAAAGAATCCGGCTTTCACGTGACATTACAACAAAACAATAAATAAGTTTAAAAAACCTTGATTCGAGCTAGCAAGAACTGTTTGTCGTGGGTTGGGTCCCGCCAGTATCATAAATTTGAGTCTAAAATTTTTATCTAATTTATGTAAGCGATATTAATGTGATATTTATAATTAACGGGTAAAAATGATAATTCAAGAACTCGGTACTTAGAAAAATCTCAAAGTGTGACATATCTTACTTATAATAAAGAAAAGCAACGACTTACGCGTAAATTATTTTTTAACATCACTAAAAACACGACTACAGTATCAGGCACTGTTCCGACACTGAATATAAAAATCCCAACGAATCACTGATTTGTATCGAAGCGACTTAGTAACTCAATTAAGGATAGCAATTGATAATTCATATGTATTGGCTGATAATACTGTAGGTTTTGCGATTTTGTAACCGTTTTGTAATAAAATTTTAATTACAACGCCAAGTATTGTCTGTACGCGTTTATTGTAATTTCCCTGGGAGATGTTACAATTAAACCCAACCGATATTGAGGATTCTTAGGAAACTATAGACAGTATTTAACGTAGTCTTATAAAACAATATAACGTCCGTAAACTGTACAACGTGTAATAAGAACTTCTAAGAAATGCGTTTACGCGAGTAGTGCAAAAATAAATAAAACACTTTTAACCGTTCTAAACTCGTCTATTAGCTGCAGCAGTCGAAATATCGGGCCGTAGTTGACATACTTAAATTGTGAATAATAACTAATACGCGTTTAAAACAGTTGAGTGTTCATTCACAACAACCGTCTGGCTTTGTGTCCATTTTAATACAGAAGACAGACTAGTACGGCGTCGATGGTAGGTAAAACGTTTCAGTCCAACAGCTTAATGCGCTATCGACCCATTTTGACGTAGGGGTTTGCGGAATTTGAAACCGAAAACTTATCTAGGAATATACGTCACAGCTCTTTTATCTGTCTGGACAGAATTTTAAGTGCCGATTTGCAAATCGAACCCACGACCCGTTATTCACTAGGCATCCAACATTGTAACTAACGTGATAAATTGTGAATAGGTACTTTACCAAATTCCCGGAAAATCAGCACGTCATTACCTAATTATAAATAATATATTTCGTGTTTGAAGCCGTTTATTTAGCATACTGTACTGCGAACTTAGAGGGTTTAATAGAAGTTTAGGTACACTGTCTTCGTCGCGTGTTATTGACAATCGATTGATGAAATCAGTTCATGGTTAAGGTTATTCAAGGCTAATAAATTATTTTATAATCATTTTGTGACGTACAACAGTTTGGCCTATCTAGATTCATATCCAGGGCACTTAATTAGATCTAGATTTGTACATATTAATATGTATTAACAAGTGAAAGTGTTAGAAACAAAGGGATTTATCTTAGGCCTTGTAAACGTTTTAAAATAAGAACAGTGATTAAAGTATAATCTAAAAATCTCTGTCTGTATAATTAAAAATCGAAAATAAATTGAAAAAAATATCGATTCGGGTAGGACTTGAACCGGCATCGTCAGCGTTCTGTGCTGTTGCTCTACCATTTGAGCTACCGAGTCACTGTCTGTAGTTTACTCCAATACATATTTAAATAACAAAATTAACGGTTTGAAACACGAAATATATTGTTTATTTGTTTAAATGCCGTTTCTTTCTAGTGTGGCATGGGGCGAACACATTTTTGTGTTCGTTCCACGGATCCGTTCCTTAACAAGCAAGTAGTTGATCAGACTTCTGTGCCCTGCCCGACCGAAAAAAAATTTTGTTTCTCTGGTATTCGAACCCAGGAACTCTCGCGCTTACCGCAATGTTAGGCAATACGTTTAACCATTTGGCTACAGAGGCGGTCACGAATTAGTTAACTAAATACTTGGTGCTCCAACACATCCAACAAAAGACGTGAGATTTAGATATTTTAAATTGGGAGTGTCTTAGTTACAAGAAACTCGGTATTTGTGTTGTTTTATTAATATTTGTTAAAACAATACGTGTTTAAGTTTTATTACAATTATTTCACGAGACAAAGAACGTAGGTAATTAACTAAAGCAATGATAGCAAACATGATGTCATTTACATGACATAAAAACATCTTACCAACGAAATTAATACTCATTTGCCATTCAAATAAAACGGAAAGTTGTTTTAATGTCTTTCTTAGAAGTTCTAATTACACGTTGTACAGCACGGTGCGACGTTGGAATTTTATAAAACTTTACGTTTTTTGTTTAAACCAAACATCAACAATATCAATCAAATTTACTGGTAATATCTCCCGTGGAAATTACACGAACGATATAAACTTAAATACTCGACGTATGTTAATAAATCTAGCTATTTTAAATACTTTCGACAGTGTAACCGCATTTTTTGGGACATAATGGAGACGAAACAGTCGCTCGTGGTAAACGTCAAAATCGGTAACAGTATAGTGGACTTTTTGGGATGGACAGCATAAATCTAAACTTATCAAATTAAACACTTAACGGTAAGAAACCGCGAAATATATTTGTCTACCCCATGACCACGACTGTAAAACATACAAAATGTATACTGTTAAACTATTTATTAGTGTACTTTTGTGTATTGTCATAAGTTAAGACTACATTGATTTAGCCGAAACTTTCACTAACCGATGTTGTAAAATTGTTTATCATTAGGCAATTTTGTGACGAATTCGTCGGTGTAACACTACTTATGTGCGGCTAATAATCAACAGACCGTGGGTTCGATTCTCACAGATCACAATTCCTAATTTAGTTATAATTTTTCTGATACATGTTAAAGTTTAAATAAAAAGCCGTGACCCGTGACCATGGCTGCTGCAAAGCATCCGAAACGTCGGGCCGAAGTTAAAAATCATTTCCAAATAAGTTTAACTAATATACCGCGTTTTAAACCGTTAAAGTGTTTTATTTAAATGTGTACTACTCTCGTAAACTATAGACAGTATTTCATGTTAAAGTTCCTCTGGAAATTCGTATATTAAGTGGGTGATAAGAACATCGTAATTCCGTCCGGGAACCACCGTCTGATATAAAAGCCATCAAGTTTGATCGCGTTTCAATTTCAGTCTGTGGAAATCCAAATATCCAAAATATATAAGCCAAACAAGGTCGATAGAGTCAAGACAAGACAGGTCGTTAACCAACGTACTACTCAATCATAAAAAAACGTATATATCTAACCAACCGCTATTTTAGGAACCACAAGATAATTTCGTGTTAAAAAATACATCTTCGATATGACTTAGCATAAATATCGCAATCCCAGTCCAAGACTTACATAATAATGACGTAACAAGCAAAGCCCTTATTCTATTTCAGTAGAAATATCTTTACAGTATACACCGTTGTTACGGCATTTTAGACTTTCCTGCTAAATACAATAGGCTTTGAATCGAATGTCAAATAGATTGCGTGATATCCAGCTGACTAGAATTAGGTCTTCGCTACATAGAGCCTAAGCGGATCGATTCAACTGTCTTGTTCTATTGTTGCCAACCAGAAAGCGCTTATGGCACCAGACAAGCAAACTGAAACCCCTTCTCCCTCCGTGGGGCTAGGGGCGAATACATTTTTGTGTCCGTTTCTCAGATCCGAACCAGGATCTCGAGAAGAAGTGGCGAGAAAATTTGCTGCCACTTTTTTCATTTTAAAGTCTTATACATACTTTTAGATATATATTTGTAGAGTTATCCCTACAATACCTTTTTAAAGAGAAGAATACAGTTCACTTGATATACCCCAGCAACATTACACGGTGCACTGTCGACCTATACAAAGTTTAGAATTTCGGATTGCAAAGTGTATTAATAATTTAGTGGTCTTAAATGGTGGTATTGCTCATAGTCGACGAAACATGGATTTGATCCCCACCGGGTCCAACATGCTTTAAATCAAATTAATCTGAAACATGTTGGACTTCATCTGATGAATCATAAAGTCAAAAATCTGCATAAGTATATAATAAGTGGTCAGTGGTTTTCCGAATTTCTATAGTCGCAATAGGTCGACCGCACATCTTATAAGGCTTATTAAGTGTTCCATGCTTCTCTGTAACCCTCATAAAAATTACTGTAGGAATATCTCTTCAAATCTATTTCACCTTCCTTCGAGTAAAACTCTACATACTACGAAAACGTATTCTAACCCTTTTTCAGTTCTTGCTGTTAGACTCTGGAATTCCCCTTCCTATTATGATTAGAAAAGCTCAGTCACTATCAAGCTTTAAACACAAATTAAAAAACCTCTTCTTTCAGGATTAATTATATTATTTAGTTTTTTTTTTAATATAACCTCTCTGAACCCCGTGCCCGTCAGTCATGCTCTGTCATGAACAAAACGCAAGCGGATAAAATGTTATTGATTTTTAATTTCTTGTAGTCAAGGATTTAATTTGTGATAAGATTGTGAGGATAAAATCTGATTGAGTGGCACACAGGTGTCGATTGGAATAACAAACGTCTTACATATTAGGAAGACGAAGATTTTCCGTTGCGTTCAATGAAGGTCCCTTCCTTTGTAACTGGAAGGACAAGTACATCCTATTTTTGGTATCATTGTAATTTATCGTGAATTCTATAAACAGTGACATTCCATATTCAATTGTGATAAGATATTCAGAATTTTTACTTTTTATAAAGACCTTTAATTTGCAACATACATAATTATGACTTACATAATAGTTTATTATGTTCTAGACTCTGTTCTGATCAGTCATTTATGGCAAAACAGACACAACATGATCAATATTGGGCTGTGCCGACGACGCTGCCCGCGTGGAACAGTTATTTTAGCATAATACTATTAGTCTGATATATAAAGCTACTCTATACTTCTTTCATACATATTTTGTGATTTCTAACCAAATCAAACCGTTCCTGAAAATAATCGCGTTCGAACCAACAAAACAAATAACCTTTAGCTTTATAATATTGGCATAAGTTTTTACAAAATGTTTGTTTATTTATATGCCCTTGTTATATTCTTTAGTCTTCAGTTAGAAATGTCAACTAGACTGTGACCTATAGACCTTAAAAATACTTATACAACTTATTTAACTATTGTCGGTGACCCCGTGGCCACGGGTAATGCAAAGTATCGGATAGTCGAGCCATTTTTAAAATAAATTAATAAAAGTTAAATTTCACGGCTCTTCACCCGTTTTTGGGACTCGGATGGAATTTAGATAGTCCTACCATCCATTTAAAATTCAGATTTCTAGTCGAAGTCTAACATCTTAAAAATATATATA